TTTAAGCATATTTACTAATTACAAGTGCAGGGAGTAAAGGGACTAAAACTAGAAAAAAGGTAAGCTGCTTTTTTATTTTTATGGTAAACCAATAAAAAACCAGGATGGCCAGCGATGTGCAAGTGACAATTATCTAATGCAGTATTCCCAGATGGAGAAAAAGGATATTAAGGCATATCCCTGGAATGCTACTGTGGTTCAAAAAAACAAAAAAAAAAAGGACATATCCTGTTACCACCAGAAGGAAATGAAAGAGTTCTCAGGAGCAGATGCCATATTAATTATTGTATTCATTTGATAATACTCCACATATAAGAGTGTAATGGTATTTTATCCACTCTGAGCCTAATTGCTGAAAGAGTCTGGACTGCTTAAGTACACCAGCAGTAAGCAAGCAAGGAAATGCTTCATTCCAAAGAGGAACTCTGTCCTGCCCTGCAGCAGAAGGAAGGCTACTGTTGTTTGTCCCCATAAGATATTCTTTTGCATTAACCCAGTGGTAATTCCATCCTTACCGCTAGACAAATGCGGGTCACAGACTAAAAGGGTGAGGCTCAAACAAAGACCTCTGAAACTTGTCTTGCTGCATGACACAATTTTACTATCTGCTTATTAGGCTGGTGGCACCTCACGAAGGCCTGGGCAAGGTCTTTCCTGTAGTTAGTAAAAGCAGATGCTAAACAGACTGGACTTCAAGGCACGGTAGCCCTTTCTTAGCAGAAGAACATAAAAGTGACACTGACGTCAAAGGACAGAAAGATTAGTGCTTTTCATATTATATTTTTCTTGGATAAGAAAGGAGCAAATTTCGGTCCTACGGCAAGACCCTGATCTTCAGGGCAGTAACATGACATTCTCTTTACTTATAAAATAGCTTTGCCTCTATGGACATTACGTTCTGTCATACTAAATAAGAAGGTAATTCATCACTAAAGATGGGGAGTTAAATATATGCTTGTTCAGCTAATAACCTGGTGAATGTAGAGGAAGGAACGACATTTCTAAATTGTCTGTAGTATCTCATTAGATACAGCCTGATGACTCTTCTAGAAAGACTAATGTTAGGTTATTAAGTCAAGCCACAGCACACAATATAATTTAAAGACCATCCAATCTAATTACAGTTAATGCAGCAACACTAGGAAACAGTGCGCTATTGGGTATGCCTGGTATCATACCATTGCCACTTCTGTACATGTCTTTATCAGAAGCCATTCACCTCATTCTTGAAACTTCACTGTAGAACTCCTTCCAAAATGTCACACAACCTGTGAGCATTTCTAGCAGTGAGCCAACATCCTCTGACAGGCCATGAAACACTGTAATGCTGCTCATTTGTTGAGAAATTGCTCATATGAGATTCACAGTAGAGACTGACATTAAAAAAAGTGCAATTTTGCCTGCCTCCCACATTGTCCCTTCTCAATTTCTGGCACCTACGCAGAGAGACAGAAAATTGCTACCAAGTCAGGAGAACAGGGCTTTTTGCTTTCTACTTGACACAGGTATAAATAGTTGTACACCCTGAAGCAGTGGAGATGCAGGCCCTGCCCAGGCTGGACCAAGTCAAAGTCACTCAAGACTCCCAGTGAAGAGGGAATGCTGCTCACTGTGAGTAACACCAGTCAGCTGCTGCAGACAGCGGTCTGGCTCATAACAAGCATCCCATGATCAAAGGAAAAAAGGAAAGAGGTAACCCAATACGTGCCTGACTTCTCATTGTACAGCTGTGACTGCATTTCAGTTCAGGACAGCCACGCACTTCCTTGTACTTCTTTGTACTCTTTAGTCATCAGACTATCTTTTTCCTTGTCCTGTATTTGAAAGTTATTTACTCAAAGTGATGATATCATCTTTGGTAACCACCAACTACTAGGTATATCTATGTGTAGAAATTTTTGGTTTCGTCATTATTCTACATATTTAATTTCTGACTCATAGGTGGACCAAGCCAGGGAGCAAATAGCAAATTCATATATTCTATGTATATCAGATTGATTTAGTCACAAGACAAAATGGTCTTCTTGTATACTACACGCAGGTTTGGGTCAGAAGCATAAGCCATAATTAAACAAGCTGAAGAACAGGCCCTTTTCCAGCATGGAGACTGGCACCAAACACACGGTGTCCAGTGGGTCAGGTCCAGAAGTACTCAGGAACACAGCTTGCCCAGTATGGCTGTCTCCACCTCACCAAGCACCATTTTCCTCCTTCAGAATTCAGAAAGATTTCAAAAAAATCAGAGCTCTAGTTTGAGACATCTGCAATGTCACAAAGATATATCCATATGCATTATATCTGTTGCTCCTATTATCTTTCAAAAGCAGCTAAGCTGCTCTGCTATTTTATTTTATTTTATTTTATTTTATTTTATTTTATTTTATTTTATTTTATTTTATTTTATTCTTTTTTATTTTATTCTTGCAACTACCATTTCTTGATTGTAGTTTGCTCAGGCAGGTCAGCTCTCTGTCATAGCACCTCTGCAACATTCAATCTTGTCCTTCTCCATCACATATCACTTACCCTTGCTCCCGTTACCACCACAACTGTGATCATCACCTAATCCAAACTAACAGCTAACTCCTGTCCTTCCCATCCCCAGCCTCTCAGCAAGTGGCAGCAAATACTGTCACCAAGCCTGCCATCTGCTAGCTGCCATGGAGCATCAGGCTGCTACCGTCAGGGCTGCCACAGAGCTAAGAGAAACAGGATGTTGCTGCCTGCTGC